CAACTAAGTGTACATAAGATTATAGTGTAGCCGTACATAGCAACTAAGTGAACATAAGATTATAGTGTAGCCGAATCAGTTTGGGTTCATAGTCTGACGAAGGTGAACTAATACAATGAACATACTGTACAAGTCATCAAAATGTCACAAATTTATTTGATACAAGTTTGGTATATACATTTTAAATCCATCTCCGATTACACAAGTACGTTAATTGTTGTAAGGATATATTTCACAATGGCTTTATTAAAGATTAACTTACTAAATAGATAGTTAATCCTTATATTTATAGTCTTTTTCTTCAATTTTACATAAAACGTGTTCTTTTAACCGGAATATAGTTCCCGCATTCAAGCATTTCATTCAAGCCCGATGTGTGATACGGTTACGCTTCATGCTGCTGTTTCAACTCTTTTCAATCCTTTATACATCTGGTGTTATTACTTTGAATCACTCTACTAAGTATATAGATGATTTATAAAACTAATTACAGCATGGGGTTCGAAAAATGGAAAATCACCCTGAAAGTATTTTTCATTGTTATACTTAGGAAAGAACATTCTTTTTCATGTAGTGCTTTTAATGATATATTTATCATCAAGAATGTGAGTTTAATCGAACATTTTGTGAAAATTTTAATGTAAAAAATAGAATTTTTCATTCTTATTATTCTTGTATACCTAAATTGTTCATAGTATAAAGAAGTGGTGTTATTTCAAATATGTATGAAAAAAATTCAATCCAAAAAAAGTGGTGGAAAGTATTCATTTCAAACAATAAAGTACTCTGTGTACCGAAAAATGGTGAGGGCATAAGACACTTCCCTGGCGTTCACCAAAAGCACTGCACCTGATTACAGGTAATTGGTAATGAAATTCGCTGCAAGCCTGCCTACAATAAATCTTTCAGTGCATGTTAGGTCACATTTTTTTTAAAGTCAATCAATTTTAAGATCAAATGTAATATCCTTGTCACTTTTTAGAATTTGTTCTTTTACATTTTATCATCAGACTTTCGTTTTTGCATTGCTTTTAGGTGATATTTAAAACTCATTTGTTAATATTCATCTCATATTGAAGAGTAAATGTATTGGTGAAGGTCGCCATCGTTTCTGTTCCGCTCCTTTTGACATTTCCCTGCCTGATATTGACAGAACAATTATTTAATCCCGATGGATCGCATCATGGCCGTCTTAAGCATTGGATAATTTTAGAACTCAATTAATATCAAATTGCTTCATTGATATAATTGAGGAAGTGCTAAAGATTGTGACTGCATGTCTCAACTGGATACGGGGGGATCGATTTATCAAAGATTACCGGAATCTGACACAAAAGACAGACCTTGCACATCAAATTAAATTTCTACTTACAAAAACAAACTGTTTGGCTCAGAGGGTGAAAACAACTAGCTCTCTCCAAGAGAGCAAAGTCAGAATTCGTAAAGATTATGAAATATGGGTGTATCAGCACTCGCAAGATCTCATCCGTTGTCAGATTTGTTCCAGACACAAAAAATACAATGTTTGGATTCAGTACACGACACCAAATGATAATAATCCAATAAAAGATTACTACTGCCAATGCCAAGTTGGTCAAAGGACTATGGGCATGTGTGCTCCTTCGAGAATACTTTATTGTGTTGGCTATCATGGCAATCTTCAAAATCCAAAACAGTTGCACCCAATGGCTAACAAATTCCGACAAAGCTTTTAATAAGTTGTTTTCTTGTGAATCTAGAATCACCAGTTTAAAAACAAACTCAAAGCCTTGCATCAGTTTTATTCCTTCTCTTTTCGAAGTCTACCATTTGAACACATTTCATACACTTGCATCTTGCAAAACATTATCTGTAAATGTCATCAGCTGTTAATACGGCGTCTGACTTTAATACATACATATATAAACAAAGTAACAAACAAACACACAATCTCTGAGTTCCATTGACAGTTGTGTATTAATCTGACAACTGTTTGGGCAGTAAAATGAATGCCATGGCCATCTTGAAAAGGAATCAAACATCGAATCTTTTCCAACCATCTTCTCCGTTGATTACATACTCATTCCATCCAAACCGGAACAATTTTTTCTTCTTTTCTGTCAGTTTCCACTCATAATGATTAGACTATACATATAGTCATGCATTTTGATGTATATACCATATGGTCATTTGATCCCTTCTTTGAATATGTTCCACCACATATGTTGGATTGATATTTTTGTCACTGGTAGTTTAGGACCAAGCCATCTATAATAAAAATATTTTTGGTATTCAAAAGTTTTAAGATACTTTTATTCTGAGATGAACACATTTTTGGTCTTGAAAATATCATTGCTTGAGATGGCTTATGGCTGTTGATTTGTCTGTGCATGTATATATCTATTAACTAACAAAAGCAAGGGATTTTTATATGTATAGTGTAGTATATGATCACTAGTTTTAGTTGCATCAGAAATGATCCTTCAGTGCATTGTTTGAGAATTTCAGTTTTATGCTTCTTCGAAAAACGAACCAAATACTCATTTGAATTTTAATGGGTGTGTTTGTTGTGATAAGGTTAGGTCTACACCTCACCTAAAGAAAACTGAAATCAAGGAGGGGCCATTTTGGAAACCCGCACTTTCCAAATGTAAAGAACCCTCCATTCCAAATTAGGTTAAAATCCTTTTACCAAAGAGTCAGATTTTATAAATGTACCCCGAGTTTCGCCATTGGACCCCACTACCCTTCTCAAACTTAGTTGGCTCTATCCCAAGCAGCTACCAGTTGAATCATATGAATCCATGCATTTTAGGTCTTCAGAACAAGTCTTTTGAAGTGTGTGTTGACCTCTGTGACATTTAAAGTAGGTTGAAGTCATTTTCATTTGCATACTTTGATGAGCTTTATCTCAAGAAGCTACCAGCCAAATATTATGATTCTATGTCTTTAGTTTATTCAGAAGAAGTAATTTGATGTTTTTGACATATTTGACCCCTGTGACTTTGAAAGTAGGTCAAGGTCATTTTCATTCGCAAACTTCGTCGACCTCAATCCAAATAATATACAGCCAAATATTAAGATTCTATACCGTTCATTTCTTCAGAAGAAGTCGTTTGAAGTGTTTGACATATTTGACCCCTGTGACCTTGATATATAGTCGAGGTAATTTTCACTCGCAGACTTTGTCACGCTCTTACAAATGAAGCTTTCAGCCAAATATCATAACTCTAGGCCTGTCAATTATTCAAAAGAAGTCGTTTGATGTGTTTGACATATTTGAACCTATATATGACCCTGAAAGTAGGTAAGATATCAGCCAAATATGAAGATTATATACCTTTTGGTTTTTCAGAAGAAGTCGTTTGAAGCGTTTGACATATCTGACTCCTGCTTTCAAGGTCATGTTCATTAGCAATATTTGTCGGGCTATTTCTCAAGGAAACTATCAGCCAAATTTAAAGAGTATCTATACCTTTCAGTTCTTCAGAAGAAGTCGTTTGGCATATTTAACCCCTGTGACTTTGAAAGTACGTCAAGGTCATTTATATTCTCTAACTTTGTTAAGGTCTTACCAACAAAGCTTTCAGCCAAATATTAAGATTCTGTACCTTTCAGTTCTTCAGAAGAAGTCGTTTAAAGGAAAAGTTGATGGACAGACGGACGCAGGACCATGACATAAGCTCACTTGCGCTTTGGACATGTGAGCTAAAAACCTTATTTCGCTATATATTTTTGAGGGTAACTTATGTAGTGTATGTGAAATCAAATTCTGTATGGTAGCTGATCTGATGAAGTTGCACGAGTATATAAGATACATAATACATGACAGTGTGAGCTATGATGCCCCTGAGTCTTCTTAATAACCTCGTAATGTATTCTATAGGAGTGATGAAAATGATCTGTCAAGTGTTGGAATGTTGTGAACTAGAAGGTACATTTAGATAAAATAACAAGAACACCAACTGTTGGTTAATACTGATTTTTATTATATTCAAAAAGCTCACTACGTGTATTATTAGTTCTCAATCAAATCCTTTTAAATCACACAGTAAAATAGTGAAAATAGTAATACTAGTACATTTTTAAATCAGTATGAAAAAAATATATAGAAAACATGTTGCAAAAATATAATTTGTAATCTAAAGCAATTGAAATGAACAATATTAAAAGCTCCAAAAGCATATGGGAAAGTGTCATAAAATCAATAAGGCACTTGAGCCGTACATGGTTTCTTGATTATTTATAGGTGATACTTTTAACACATTATGCAAAATCCCTCAAAGCTGTAACATCAGTTTTACATGGTGAATCTTCAGCTGAGCCAAAATAGCACTAATCGGAAAACATTAATATGACGTCAAAATGTCTTGTAATAGGGTTACAACATTTTGTGACACATTTCAGTTTTTGGAATCATCCATTGTAATTATTTCCAGTGATATATATTATACCAGCAAGTAGTTCTTAAATTACATAGGTTAAACAAAATTCATCGTGAAAACAAAAACAAACAACAACACAAGCATACAAATTTAAATTTCAACAAAACTCACACTGTTCCTCTGTGTTTTTAGTGGGATAATAAGTAGAAATTAACAAGAAATATATGGACATCTGCAAATTAACATTGAATTTCAATGTTGATCAAATTAACATAACACTTGAAGAGTTCTGGACTTCTAAAAAGATATTTACTGTAGAAACATCTGAATAAAGAATTAACTACTTTAGTCAGTAGTTAAACAATCATTAATGAATATCATGTTAGGTTTATAAGTACATACATTGCCTGATGAATTCTAAACTTTAAAAGCATACATTTACTTATGTTCGCAAGCTAATATAAAAAGTCTTTGAATGTGCAAGATAAAGAATTTGTCATTTACATCGTACATAAGTAACTTCCAGCATTAATTAGCTCTGTAGAGCTATTTTTATTTCATTAAAGTAAAAAATATAAAAAATATACAATAACATGATATATCACAGCAAATTTTATTTACAACTAACACACAGGAAACAGTTAACCTGTTTAGTACTCTTGTTAGCAACATATTTACATACAGTAATACATTTGGCGCATCAGGGGCTACTCACTCCAACAATTTTACTACCATATATTTATACTATTATTTTTTGAACAAGCTAGACTCCGGGGGTATTGAGAGAAGCAGCTAGACTCTAAAAATGTCTCCAGAGAAGCGACTAGACTCTGGTTGTGAACACCCCTAGAGAAGCCACGATGAGAGCAGCTAGACTCCTGTGATACAAGAGAAGCCGCATCCCAGAGAAGCAGCTAGACTCTGAAAATGTCTTCAGAGAAGCACCTACACAGCCCAGAGAAGTGTGCAGCTAGACTCTGAAAATGTCTCCAGAGAAGCGACTAGGCTCTGTTTGTGAACACCCCTAGAGAAGCCATGATGAGAGCAGCTAGACAAATGTAAGTCATAAGTAAAGCCTGCATGGGCATTCACACATCCATTTTAAGATTAGAGAACTTGATTCTTATCTATGTACAATTAACATTTGTTACTATTACAAGGAAAAATGAGATCCAGCGTCCGCTAGTGGATGTACAGTGAAGGTCTGCGTACCCCATGGCCAGCTGATGGATTCCTAAATGGAATTCACTAGTCCAGCCATTAGAGTAATCAAAATTCAAAACAAGAAATGACCTGACAACATCAAATGCTACTATGCTCCTTTTGTTAAAACGTTCCAGAAATGAATACCATACAATCAATTTTGTGACAATTCTTAATTCACTCTCATTCAGTGAAAGGGCTATTGCAAACTCTAACTGCAATAAAGAATTTCCAAAATAATGACAAATATTTATAGTTATTATATCGTGTAATATAGAAGTACTAGAACCAAACTCAAAACGATAAAACAAAGATGTGAATATATAATATATAAAGTTCCAAAATACTTCCTATTTTGGGTCACCCTAGAGAATGAGCTGAGGACAACAAATTTTAAAAAGAAAACCTTGACAGAGCTTGTTTTCTTTTTGAATAAGAGAATGAACTAAGTTCAGTCAGATAAACATAATAAAAAGTCTACTTGATGAGGAACCACTATATGTAAAGGACATATAATTGTTTCCTGTTCAATACCATATATCTTACATAAGTTTCGCAGAATATTAATACAGATATTTAAGCACAAGTGAGAATATTTCAATATTCTGTCATATACTGAGGAAATATGTATCATGGTATTCAACAAGAAAAGCATTAATTTCTTAATTTTTTACACTTTGTGGTTTAAAGGTAAAAATAGTACTGCATCAACAAATTGCAAGATTTAGTAGTTTAATCTTCAATGTCATATTCTAATGACGCTATGCTTGACAACAAGGCTACTCATCGTTTTGAAAGGGCTACTCAACGCAATTCTACTGATTTCTGCAATTATCTGGTACAATTTCTTGAAAAAATGTTATCAATTATGTAGTTATATCAACAACTAAATGACATCAACAAAGCTGTACAAAAACAACCACTTGTTCTATCCATCACTTGACCTGCAGCTAAACAGAAAATCTATAGCTTTGAATACAGTAACTAGAAAATACCATTTTGATAGATCAATATAAAATCAATACAGGACTTATAGCTTTATCATCATATGTGAATATTATAAACATTATGTATATAGTCTTCACTACAGTGGATGGTGGTTAATAATAATTTCTGTTATTTTACTGGTAAAACATGTAAAAATCAATATTTATATATACTCAAGAGAAAAACGATTGTATCACATAAAATAAAGACTCAATAATGCAAAACATTCAAAAAAGCCAAAAGCTACACAAACTTGCAAATAAAAATTACCCCAGTATAATAACATATACAAACGTAACTGTAAACCATGGTTTAACTGCATTGTTTTATGACCTGTTTCTTCAAACATACTTTAGCATGTTTTCTTCATTCACGCACATATACCGCATGTAGAAATTATTTCACAAAAGTTATATTACACACAAAATCTATCCAATGCATAACTAAAATATGAACTTTATTTATTTAAAACAATTGGTGAAAGACGGGTGCGCTATCCACTGCACCACCCGACCACCCCCAAATTATAATTACATACAGAATGCATAATTATAATTACCTACAGAGCATATCACATGTTTTTATATTAAAAGCTATTACAAGTAAATACAATAAACAGAACAATAAACATAAAACATGAATGTGAATTGTATATAATCACATAAAAAGTATAATACACTTAATTTCTTGGTGTGAAACCTCATAATTAGTATCACTAAATGAAATACAATACTTGTCTGCATGGTACATTACATCATTTATTTATTATTCAAATAAAACATAACACATAATTTCATCCAAACAAAACAAACGTTTTTTGCTGAAGGCATGAGGAGCCATATGTTGACATGTGAGCCCTATACTGGGTACTTCAGTCCTTTTACTTCTTAGTGTGGTTTGGAACCTGACGATAGAGACACATGTTGACCCACTGTGATACCCAGAATCTCTCCTTCTTAACTTCATGTACCTCTTCTTCTCTTCCTTTCTGCTATTTGTGTGGAACAAGATAAACAAAAAACATTGTATGCCGAAATATTAGAATACTGGTAAAAACATGATCAGCACAATAAATGGATATTATATGCAGTTTTACATCAGTATGAAACATTACATAAAATGTTGTACAAGCATAATTTGTATTCTAAGACAATTACAATGAACGATTTCAAAAGCTCTAAAAGAGTCCTATGGAAAAGTATCATAAAATCAATGACTGCCATGTCACTTTAGCTGTGATGGAATGGAGCTTCTTGATAAATTAACTGTAGTAGTTGATACGTTTATACACAAAATCACTCCAGGTTGTATAATATCAATTGTGACAGTGAATCTAGAGCTTAGCCAACAAAGCACTGATTGGAAAACCTTGACATGTTAGCTGCAATAATTCTTTCCCAGTGTAATGCAATACATGGTATAATTACAGTAGTTGTTAGATATATAGATTAAACAAATTGTCACAAAACATAGAGGCATCATATATTGAATTTCTAGACAGCTTACTCTGGTTAAATATTCATGAAAAAGAAATGTATCTAAATTAGTCTTTGCTCTAAACAATTTAGCATTATTCTATGGAACAAACTTATAGAATATACACATACATCATAGAAACACACACTCAACAAAAGATGTTCAAATAACTTGTACAACATTATATCATTAAACAGTTAGTATAACCTCAACAACTGGAGAAGCTGCTTGTTATGAAGCTTAACCACATTGTAAATGCTAAGCTTCACTCACATGCAATTATATGTTAGTTGTAATGGGGGATTAGTGAGAAAACAATAGAAAAAAATCTGTATAAGAAGAATTGATAATCAATTTAAAGCATATTTCTGAACATTTTAAGGTTGGTAAGTATGGATTCTGAATTAAAAGATTCATGTAGCACAACCAAAAACATATTTTACACATTTGTGTAGATACGCTTCACATAGTCATTTGTCTGATCGAGGTGATAGAGTACATACCATACTATTCATCAAAATGTCACATATAAATATGTATTGGTTGTGCTACATAAGTCTTTTCACAATTAATTTAAAGCAGTATATCATTTATGAATATGTAAGTTAAGTATTGTCTAATGAATTCAATTACTAAAACATATATTTACTAATGCATGTTTACATGTAGCTTATCATAAAAAACAAGCTTGAATGTGATCAATAAATATAACCATGGCATTTACACTTCCTTATCATGAATACAACACTTCACTGGGTTGTCCCAGCAATAGACCATATCCAATCAACCTATATCACTATTCTAAGGCTGTTCCAGAAAAAAACCCACCATATCAATCTTTGTTACAATTTTTGAATAGATTCCTTTTAATCACCTGTGACAATACATCAGAGGTGGTATGCAGATTATTGGAAGAAGAAGGAAAATCACTCTTATTCACTGACAGTATATATAGTTTGACCCATTGCGACACCAGTAGTTTCTCCTCCACCTAGTAACTTCTCTCCCTCTCCTTCCTGCTGTGGGCGTGGAAGAACAAGAGCCACACATTGACACACTGTGACACAAATAGTTTCTCCTCCACCTAGTAACTTCTCTCCCTCTCCTTCCTGCTGTGGGCGTGGAACAACAAGAGCCACACATTGACACACTGTGACACCAGTAGTTTCTCCCCATTTTCCCCGTCCAGTCTGGCAACGGTCTCCATCATCCAGTCAGGGATTTGAGAATCCTCATCATACATGGGGCTGTATAAGTAACCCTCCAGATTTTGTTGAAGGCTATAAGTTAAGAAAAACGAAAAAAAATATCAAAATGGGTCAAAGCGTACCATGTAGTAGTGATCATGTAGAGATTTTCTATGCGTACCATGTAGTAGTGATCATGTAGAGATTTTCTATGCATACCATGTAGTAGGGATCATGTATAGATTTTCCATGCATACTGTGTAGTAGTGATCATGTAGAGATTTTCTATGCGTACCATGTAGTAGGGATCATGTAGAGATGTTCTATGCGTACCATGTAGTAGGGATCATGTATAGATTTTCTATGTGTACCATGTAGTAGTGATCATGTAGAGATGTTCTATGCGTACCATGTAGTAGGGATCATGCAGAGATTTTCTATGTGTACCATGTTGTAGTGATCATGCAGAGATTTTCTATGCGTACCATGTAGTAGTGATCATGTAGAGGTTTTCTATGCGTACCATGTAGTAGTGATCATGTATAGATTGTCTATGCGTACCATGTAGTAGTGATCATGTAGAGGTTTTCTATACATACCATGTAGTAGTGATCATGTAGAGATTTTCCATGCATACCATGTAGTAGGGATCATGTAGAGATGTTCTATGCGTACCATGTAGTAGTGATCATGTATAGATTTTCTATGAATACCATGTAGGAGTGATCATGTAGAGATTTTCCATGCATAACATGTAGTAGGGATCATGTAGAGATGTTCTATGCGTACCATGTAGCAGTGATCATGGAGAGATGTTCTATGCGTACCATGTAGTAGAGATCATGTATAGATTTTCTATGCATATCATGTAGTAGTGATCATGTAGAGTTTTTCTATGCGTACCATGTAGTAGTTATCATGTATAGATTGTCTATGCATACTATGTAGTAGTGATCATGTATAGATTGTCTATGCATACTGTGTAGTTGTGATCATGTAGAGATTGTCTATGCGTACCATGTAGTAGAGATCATGTATAGATTTTCTATGCATATCATGTAGTAGTGATCATGTAGAGGTTTTCTATGCGTACCATGTGGGAGGGATCATGTATAGATTTTCTATGCATCCCATGTGGTAGTGATCATGTAGAGATTGTCTATGCATACTGTGTAGTTGTGATCATGTAGAGATTGTCTATGCATACTGTGTAGTAGTGATCATGTATAGATTGTCTATGTGTACCATGTAGTAGTGATCATGTATAGATTTTCTATGCATACCATGTAGTAGTGATCATGTAGAGATTGTCTATGCATACTGTGTAGTAGTGATCATGTATAGATTTTCTATGTGTACCATGTAGTAGTGATCATGTAGGGATTTTCTATGTGTACCATGTAGTAGTGATCATGTATAGATTTTCTATGCGTACCATGTAGTAGTGATCATGTAGAGATGTTCTATGCGTTCCATGTAGTAGTTATCATGTATAGATTTTCTAATCGTACCATGTAGTAGTGATCATGTATAGATTGTCTATGCATACTGTGTAGTAGTGATCATGTATAGATTTTCTATGTGTACCATGTAGTAGTGATCATGTTTAGATTTTCTATGCATACTGTGTAGTAGTGATCATGTAGAGATTGTCTATGCGTACCATGTAGTAGTGATCATGTAGAGATTTTCTATGCATACCATGTAGTAGTGATCATGTATAGATTGTCTATGCATACTGTGTAGTTGTGATCATGTAGAGATTGTCTATGTGTACCATGTAGTAGTGATCATGTAGAAATTGTCTATGCATACTGTGTAGTAGTGATCATGTAGAGATTTTCTATGCATACCATGGTGTAGTAGGTAGAGGTCTTGTGTTTAGGTTTTCTTAGCTTCTGGTGGTATAACATCAATTTGTTCTAGTATGACAATATGCCATTATTCAATTCAATGGCATCATATTGGTTTTGGGTCAGCAGCTAGGTGTAACAGTTTCCAGGTGATATTCTTACTGATTCTATGTAAGGATTGTATCATTGGCTTTCCAGGACAAAGTTGATGACAAGATATTCATTGATTGAGTGATTGGAGACTAGATTAAGTGATCCTAAATCAAAATGGCACTATTCTGACCAAGAAGCTGTGTAGAGTCGGCCATACTGTGACCCATACCTACATTTACAAATGACGTAACATGACGCTCACCTTTGACCAAGTATGTCAATGTAGTCCTCATCATCCTGATTTTGTGGAATGGCGATCATCAACATGATACACTCAAACAGAAGTTCCATGAGATAGTCTAACTTGTCTGTCTGCAGACCGTCACAGAAACATTGGAGATAATCTTGCTGTTGTTCTGACAACTCCTTTCTGAACTCATCACCAAGGCTGTCAAACACATCCTGTAAGTATGATAACAGAAATGTTCCTCTTCTCTTTGTATTGGGTATATCAAACTGCATTAATAATTAAATATTGATAAAAAGGGTGTAATTCTTTCAATGGATAAACGTTTGAACAGCTGATGATGGTGGGCATACACTTTCACACTTGTTGATATTTATACATCAGAGTAACAGCCTACTTTACCTTTCTATGTTACTATATATACATCAGAGTCCAGCCTACTTTACCTTTCTATGTTAGTATCTATACATCAGTATACCAGCCTACTTTACCTTGCTATGTTAATATCTATACATCAGAGTAACAGCCTACATTACCTTTCTATGTTAATATCTATACATCAGAGTAACAGCCTACATTGCCTTTCTATGTTAATATCTATTCATCAGAGTAACAGCCTACATTACCTTTCTATGTTAATATCTATACGTCAGAGTAACAGCCTACATTACCTTTCTATGTTAATATCTATACATCAAAGTAACAGCCTACTTTACCTTTCTATGCTAATATCTATACACCAGAGTAACAGCCTACTTTACCTTTCTATGTTAATATCTATACATCAGATTAACAGCCTACTTTACCTTTTTATGCTTTGCTTGACACTTTGTCTTTTCTTGAGCCAGAGTCAGCCACAGACATTGTACATGTTGACACTGACAAACTGCCTTGAACTGTGGACAGAAATGTGATCAACTTTAAGTACAGAAATATAAAATGAAGAGGATGCTTCATATTTTTATTGTTAAGGTCTTACATAAAACAGGAATACGGCAACAGGTAGATTGATAGTAAGGACAAAAAATCTCATACAAATAAATATATACTCAAACGCAAATATTCCTGAGCACCAACAGTATGTTGGTCTACCATTGACACCGCAATGCTGACCACATCATGTGCGATGGTTGACGGCACAAATTATGTCCAGATGTTTTCCTATGAGATGTTGGAGGTCCAATAATTGGTCTCTACTGATAAATCTTGATTCATATTATTTTGAGCAGATGGACGTCAATGTGTATACCAGTCTCAAAAATGAGCGTTTTGCTGATGGCTTCATTTTGGAGCATGACTGATATAAGGGAGGATTGCTTATGGTTTGAGGAGAAATTTTCTTTGGTTTAAAAACACCTTCAATGATTGATAATCAGAATTTAGATAATGTCTTTCCCCTATTCAGATGAGATCCTAATTTTAAGGCCCCATATTGTGCCTTTTGCTAGGACTTGGGCATCACCTACATGTAACTCTTCAGCCAGAAAATGCAAGACCACATGTTGCAAGAATCTGACCTGATTTTCATGCAACACATGAAATTGTGATTATTAATTGGCCTTAATCCATCTAGCCCCAATTCGTTCCCAATCAGACACTTGTGGGATGAACTAGACAGAACCGTTCAAAACTGCCGTAACCGTCCAAATACCCTCTCCTCCCCCAGTTAGCCAATGCACTTGTCAAGGAGTGGAATAACATTCCTATATAGTCCATGCCCCTTCGAACTCAATACAATGCAGAATTAGAGATGCAATTGCTGCTTGAGGAAGAAATACATGATATTAGGGAATGGTTTCACAACTACTGCCATTTCAACTTTGAGAAACTTGAGGTACTATATGTCATTGGTTTAATGAAGGGCCCTAGCTTTGTTAAATATCCCTATAAAATTGTTGGTGGTAAGATCAATATTCAATGTTAACTATTACATCAAAAATTTGTACATAATGCTATAATATATCATTTCATCAACCCTTAAATTTGAAGTTGTTTCTTTTTCGTTTCAGTATAAATAAGTTAATATGAAATTACGCTATTTTTCCAATACAAATAATGGCCAGTCCATTAGACATAAACAGAAGGTCAGCACAGACTCATATTCTCACACCATTCTCAGCTTGGAATCTTTAGGAAGTTGACTAATTGACCAACACCCGCAACAACAATTAAATAAATACGACAAAGCATCTTATATACACATGTTGTATTAACAATGAATCTCTTAATCAATACCAGAATAAACAATTAAAAAAACTTCATGTCTTTGACATCCATACAGAAAAAGGGGTATGAAAAAAACATTTTTGGAGAAAAATAGCATTATAAAGATGAGATCTTATAATTGCCTCATCAAACAGCCTATTGTGATGAAAATTGAGGTTTTTGAAGTAAAACCAATTTTCATGATGTAATACTTACCATAACTTTAGTATGCATATACAATACCTACACCCATCTTTGTAGCCCAAAAACAAAAGATTCAAATATCCCTACCTCCCTACCGTGATGTAGCCCATATCTCGATGACAGAGCCAGGGAGTGATCTCCCTTCCTCAAACCCCTTTTATGGAGCCTAAAGGCAGCCGGGATGAGGAGGCAAGGGGAGGAATACAGGGTGGGAACTCCATAAAGTTATGGTAAGTATTACATCATGAAAATTGGTTTTACTTCAAAAACCTCAATTTCATTTCAGTAATAATTACCATAACTTTAGTATGCGAATTCGTCTTACCGTAGTGGAGGCTTCGAATCCAGGCAGACCAGGCTGACGGAACAAACTCGAGACATGCTCAAGGTAGGGAAAAGGTTCAAGGAACCCCCCTAATAAAGCCCCGAAAGTAATAAAAAAAAAATGGAAAACCTCGCCGTGAAACGAGCAGGTGTACCACCGTGGTGCCTGATAGCATTCTATTTAAAAATAACTGAATTACTGTGGAGGAACAGCCACAGACTGTGCAACCACCACCAGTCCAAGGGAATACAATCCATCAGAATGAGAAGCCAATGACCGGAGATAAAAATCCGTGAAGGTAGTCTGTCCGCGCCAGGAAGCCGGAAAGGGGGACCCATTGAGGAGGGCCCATGACGCAGAAAGGGCCCTGATCTCATGAGCTCTCGTCTTATACAACGCCCGAACCTGATCATCTGAGTGGTCGTAACCGTACTTGATGAACTGACAGATCCATCTAGACACTGACTGACAGGAAATATCCTGCTGACCCTGCTTATTGGGCAAGAATAGACGAGATTGAGGACCCCCCCCCCCCTGGTTTTATCGAGGTAAAACCTAAGCACCCGACAGGGACAGAGCAACCTATCCTGTTCCTCAGACCCAATGAAGGCAGTCAAAGACGGAATCTTAATAGGATCAGGCTAGAAGCCAGGAACCTGATTCTAAGCCATGAAGCCAGTGAGAAGGATAACGGCAGAGTAATTCCTGGACCACCGGAGGCAAGAGGGGTGAGAAGACAAGGCATGAATTTCACTCCTCCTTCGACCTGAGGCCAGAGTAATAAGAAATACCGCCTTGTAGGTAACAAACTTCAAGGAGGCAGACGATAAAGGCTCATAAGGTACCCGCATCAGCGATTCGAGCACCAGTGGCAAATTCCATTGCGGAGTCAACTGCCAGACCCTAGGCCTGTCCAACCCACACACCCTAATCAAGGCAGAAAGAGAGGAGGACGAGCCTACCTCCGGCCTACCATGAATAGAGAGCACACTAGCAATGGCCGTGCGATAACCAGCGATAGTGCCAGGGGCAGGATTGCGGTCCCTAAACAGCCAAAGAAGGAAGTCCGCAATCACCTGGACAGTAGCCTTGCTCGGATCATCCTTCCTGCCGACACACCAATCACAGTAAACCTTCCATCGTGATTGGTATACGGCAGATGGGGAAGATCTTATTGATCGAATGATGCGATCTGACACGTCCCTAGAAACGCCCGCCTGAGTGAGGCCTCCTGAGATAGCTTTCACGCGTGAAGGTGGAGGATCTCCGGACGAGAGTGCATCGTCCTGGACCGAGGCTGACGAAGGAGGTTGGCTCTGTGAGGAAGAGCTAGGGGCTCTTCCACCAGAAGCGACAAAAGCTCCGGAAACCAAGGCTGCCTCGTCCACAGGGGCGCTATCAGGAGGAGGGAACACTGATGCTCCCGAAACTTCTGCAGCACCCTCCCCACCAGGTTGAAGGGCGGGAATGCATTCCCTCCCAATCCAGAGACAGAGCATCCAGAGCCCAAGCTGGATCTGGAACCGGAGAGACAGACGTTGGCAACTGATTGTTCAGTGAAGTGGCGAACAGGTCTATGTGGGGCCTGTCTCACACCTGACAAATTCCCTCGAAAATCGAGGGATTCAGTTGCCACTCTGTCAAAACCGGCTGCCGGCGCCTGGAAAGAGTATCCGCCAGAACAATCATCCTGCCTGGAAGATGCTTGACACAAATTGTCAACTGCATTTCCTGACAAAGAAGAAGAATGCGGATAGCGAGGGCACACAGGGTGTGATACCTGATTCCCCCTGTCTCTTCAGATATGCGACAACTGTAGTGTTGTCAGTAGCCACACAAACCACCTTGGAATGCAGGATCTCCCGCAGAGACTGCAGAGCGATTAGAACAGCCCTCATCTCGAGCACCTTTATGTGCTCCGAGAGCTGTTCCCCAGACCACTCCCCCGACCGGCAATGCCTGTCGAGGTAAGCTCCCCATTCTGTCATGGATGCATACGTGTACAGGGTCATAGTGGGAACTGGCTTAGAAAAAGGAACCCCTCGGAGAACATTGTCCTGATGAGTCCGACAGCGTGCAAATTCCTTGACCGACTGGTTCAGAGGAAGCCAGGCTTCCAAATCCCTTGAAGAAGGGACCCAGTTGGCAAGGAGAAACATCTGGAGAGGCCTGATGTGAAGTCTCCACATCGGCCAGGGCGTTGAGATATCCCAGAAAACTGAGAAACAAACGTTCCTGGACTTGAAACCGGCCGATGAAGGTCAGAGCAAAAGCCATGGCCTTCTCGAACTTCTCCATCGGTGGATGCCCTGAACCGTATTGAAACGGTTCCCCTGGAAAACAAAATCCCGAGATGGGGAAACCTCCGACTTTTCTCTTGAAGGAATGAAGCTGATCTTGAGTAAGACTTTCAGAACCAATCGGGTGACCTGCACTAGAGACTCTCTCACTAGGTGGAGCATGAGGGAATAGTCGAAATAGATGTGAACATCTATTCCTCGAGAGTGCAGGAATCCCACGACCACCTGCAACAGCTTGGTGAAAACCAAAGGTGCAGTCGTGAGCCCGTACGGCATTGGCCGGAACTGGAAAACCTTTCCGTTGCACGTAAAACGGAGGTACTTCCGTGCCGACTTCTTGATGGGGATATGGAAGTAGGCATCCTTTAGATCTACTGAAGTCGCCCACATTCCCTCTCTCACGGAGGCGATAATACCCCAAGGAGTCTCCATCTTGAAGTGAGGAAAATCTACGTGCCTGTTGAAGGCACTTAGATCTATGATGGGACGCCACGCCCTGGACTTCTTCCGAACCAGAAACATTCTGAAGTAGAACCCGGGAGTACATACCGACATAGGAACCTCCTTGACCGCGCCCTTGGTAAGCATAGTCCTTACTTCTTCCTGGAGCGCCAGAGCCTTTTCCGGATCCGTTGGTGGAGGGAAAAAGATTGGCTCTGATGCTAAGGGCGAATCCCGAACTAGCGGAATGCCTAACCCTTCCTTGACCACAGACAAGGCCCATGCGTCTTCCGTTATTTCCTTCCACTCTGGAAGGAAAGCGGAAAGACGAACCCCCACAGGAAGATCTGGTAAAAACACCTAAAAAACCTTAACAAACACCATAATGATGTAACCCTCATATTTAAATATTCAGGATGCA